GCTGCCGCGCGGACGCCGGCTCCTCCACACGGCCCCGCCGGCGGACCCGGGCGTGCTGGCCTGCCGCCTGGCGTCCCGCGCCGTGGTCCGCTTCCGGGGCCCCGAGGCGGCGCGCTTCCTCAACTCGCTCCTCACCAACGACGTCCTCCTCTCCCACGGCTCCCCCGCCTCGTCCCAGCCGCAGAGGTACGCGCCCACGCCCAACGCGCCCGCGCGGGCGCCCCCGCCGCGGTACGCCGCGCTGCTCACGCCGCAGGGCCGGTTCCTCTACGACCTCTTCCTCTACCGCCCCGCCCCGCGCTCCCAGATGCTCGACCGCACCGGGGCCGCGCCGCAGACCGGGGAGCGGCCCGGCGGGGAGGAGGGTGGGGAGGGGGACGGGGAGGTGCTCGCGGATGTCGACGCCGCTGAGGTCGACGAGCTGCTCGCCTGCTTCAAGAGGTGAGGATTCGCAGAGCTGATTTATTTTGTGCATCCCGTGCTGACACGAAACTTGCAGTCATTACTCTGACCATTTGCATGGTCGAACTGCGACCGGAAAAGTAAGATTGTTTGGGGAAAGAAACAGTACGAGCTAATCAACCTATGGGGCCAATTATCTCTAGGAAACGGAGTTTCTGTAGTCAAAGCAGTTGCTGATTGATTAGTTATTTCCTTGTGTTGTCAGAGGATACAGTTTGAAGATGATCGATTGTGTGCCCGTTTTGGCTGGACATTCCAGTGCATAACTTGGAGTCATGAATCTTGATTTTTCAGTGCCATAAACATTGAAGTTGCAACCCCAGAAGGACATCAGCTGGATCACAATTGGGAAATTAATCCTAGCTGACAATGTTTCGGTCCCAACTAGGAGCCTGCGCATGTTTTGGTCTCAACTAGGAATCTGAGCATGTTTCGGTTTCAACTAGGAGCCTGAGCATGTTTTGGTCTCAACTATGAATCTGAGCATGTTCTGATCTGAACTCGGGATCTGAGCATGTTTGATCTCAAGTAGCAATCCTGTTTGGTTGGGGGTTGTTCTTGACTGTGGTGTGGACATGAGAATTTTGATGCTTTTTTTATCATTTAGTATGTCCGTTATAGCTTTCCAAACAGTCAGGGTCAAGTTCAAATCACTTATGCCATGGCAATTTTTTTGTCCATTTTGCAGATATCGGCTAAGAAGCAAGGTTGAGATAGATAATGTAAGTGAGGAGTTTTTGTGCTGGCAAAGATTTGGAAGTGATGTCGCACATTCTGAACCTTCCACTCAAGAACCCGAGGCTCAATCCATTGGATGGGGACAAGGCAGTGACCATGCTGCTGAGTCATCTGCACAAGGGAACGGTCATGGTTGGCAGTGGCTCAAAGATCCTCGGCTTGACATTCTTGGCTACAGAGGAATATTTCCAGCTGATACAATACGTAAGTCATTTGTTCTTGGTGCTTTCTAAAATTACATTTGATATGGTGCTCAATATCTACCGATGGTCATTTGAACATGCAAGTAACTCTTGGTTGTGCCCGCAGCACCACTTGTTGAGGCTGACAAAGAAGCAGATGAACGCCATTATTTGCTTTGGCGTATAGAAAATGGGGTTGCAGAAGGCTCAACTGAGATACCAAAAGGTAGGATTAATTTCCAGTTGATCTGTTAAGACACTGAAACATCAGCATACTTAGAGATTTGTATAGCTATTTGATGTTCCTTGGTTAAGGACATGGCTTCGATTCTGGAATGATTCGTTCAGTGTTATGTTGAAGAGTCTGGCCATTTAAACTGGTACTCCCTCTGTAAACAAATATCAGTTTACGGAGGTAGTACCCAGCACTGTAATTCAATGGTACAGGAAGAACTGTGCTACATCCTGTTAACAACAGTAAAACTATTGATGAAAACATCTGCATCTACTGAAGCAATTTTAAGGAAATTAGATTGCGTACTCATGGTTTGTCAGGTCATTCTGGTTGGTTAGTGGTGGTGATGGATATTTTACAATTGCATACATTATCTATAAGGAAGAGCTTAGAAGCCTACAGTAGCATAAATCGTATAGGCAATTTCATTTCTGTCTTACGACTTAAGATAGTAATGCTAGGAGCCCAGAGATTCTGGTTGATTGGTGCTAGTGAATTGTTCAGTACGGTGGCTTCAGGGGCATAGCTTAGAAGCATAGTCTCTTGTCTCTTGTAGGCTGTAGCACATGGGCAAGTTGGTATGGGAACTCTGTCTATGCTTAACTAACATCTTTTCTCCTGCCCTTTCTTGCTTTCCTAATTGTATCATTTTTGGCTGTTACACTATGTTTCCTTACATTTCCAGCTTAAACATTAAGATGCTTGTTCTTTCCTCTTTTGCTAAAACCATCTTCTTTTGTACCAGGTGAAGCAATCCCACTCGAGTACAATCTTGCAGGCCTGAATGCTATTTCATTCGACAAGGGGTGCTATATTGGTCAGGAGCTGATCGCACGCACACACCACCGTGGTGTCATCAGGAAGCGCCTGATACCCTTGAAGTTTGTAGATGAAAATGACAAAGGTATTAATTCTGTGCTAAATTATGCAGTCATCGAGTCTCTGTCAACCGGATATTGATTCTGCAACCTCTGTTATCAGAACTCGAGCAGGCTGTTGCTCCTGGCTCAGATGTCGTGGACGACGCCTCTGGTAAGAAAGTGGGTACGGTAAGCACCGCTCTCGGCAGCCGTGGGATGGGTCTGTTGCGGCTCGAAGCAGCACTGAAGGAAAACGCTATCCTTGCCATCAGCGACAACAGAGATGTGAGGGTCAAGGCGATTAAGCCAGACTGGTGGCCGGCTGAGTGGACAGAGGTCTTAGCACAGCAGAGCGCAGTCGCTTGATCTTTTAAATTTCCAGTACCTGACCAAAAATTCGAGCGAAATGAAGTAATGAAGTTCTTCGTAGTTCATAGAGGCAAATCTGAAGGATCTGGGCGCCAATTCTTTCATAGAGGCGCTGTGAGTAGGGGTGGAGTTTCAGACAGTTTAGCAAAGGTTACCTGACTGTGGTCTGTGGTCTCTCAGTTTCTGGGCCTAGTTTCTTGGTCTACTGTCTTATCAATTTCTGCACCTAGTTTCTTCCTTACTGTACTCCCTTGTGGCAAATGATAGATCAAGAATAAGCTACTGTGTACAAATTATACACTAAAAATAAGTCTCCTGTTTTAGGGTTTGCCAGTTCCCAAATGTTTTCTTTCGAACATCTCTGAAACGGATGATCTAATTTTGCAGACATTTTAACTCGTCAGCAAATCTTGTTCAAAGTTGTTAATTTGTCTTGGGAAAAAGGAAAATCTTCTCGTGCTGTTGTCGCCTCTGTTTTGTTTCGAGCGCCTTTTTCTGTCAAGACTTTGTTTGAAGCTCCTAGATTGGCCGCACCTCGAAAGATATGTCTTCCAAAATGGAAGATACTGAACTTCAGCCTATTGTGAGAGAATGAATAAACTCTTCACAATCTTCTTAGTTGCTTCGTCTGCTCCATCGTTTGCTTTAAATCCTCTGAAGCAATACACCTCCGGCCGGAAATCACACTGATGTTGTAACCTCGTGTGTAGAAATCTAGACAGGTGTAATCACAAATTCTGATGCTTCCTAGTCCTAGGATGTCAGTGGATTTTAGTGGCATTGCAAGTGCGATTCCAGTTCTAACTAAGTGCACAACTTGTGTAGATTGTGTTTGTGCTATTATTGGTCTGAACCAAGCAAAGATCGAGCTCTGCTCCTTGCCCGCACAGCTATGCAAATAGCTTGATAGCTGGGGAGACGCGTGCCACCGGCTGATAAGACCCGTCGCACGGCGAGGCGAGGGTAGCGGCGTTCCGATTGGAGAAGGCGAGGCGAGGGTAGAGGCGTTCCGATTGGAGAAGGCGAGGCGAGGGTAGCGGCGTTCCGATTGGAGAAGGCGAAGACGATGGCCGGCGTAGATTGACGTGCAGACCATATCTTGTTGGCAAGTCATATCAAAAGCTTTTAGTATGTGTTTGGAATGAAGAAATATGTTCCCTTGGTTAATTAGTGGAAACTGTACTACATGAAACAGCACTTCAGCTTGTTGTGGCCTCTGTTTTGAGCGGCATTTGCTGTCAGCTCTGTTCTGAGCGCTTATTTCTCACCACTTGGCTGCACATAGAAATTTGCCTTCTAAAATGAGATGCGGAATCAATAGAGCTTATCTTAAGAAATACTGGTATATTTTTCCACTTTGAGAGAAAATCAGTCACTGCCCCTCTTAATTCAGCGAGTTGGGAGAAAGCAAATAATCTCATAGCATACCATGTACTAGTATGAATCATGAGTGCGACTGAATTGACTATCGGTTTCTTGCCCTCTTGGTACGGATTAAAACTGGTATGGAACTTCAAAGTCGTCTTGAGGTAAATCCTTTGTGTTGCTTGGTCGTCACTGCTTCTTCGACCGTTCGTTGTATTTCCTCTGAGGCAATACATCTCCAGGGGCAGACGTAGTCACAAATCCTGATGCTTCCTAGTCCTAGGATGTCAGTGGGTTTTAGTGGCATTTGTATGCGCGATTCAAATTCTAACTATGTACATAACTTGTGTACGTTATGTTTGTTGTATTACTGGTATGAACCACGGAAAGACCAAGCCATACTCCTTGCCGGCACAGGTATGCAGATGGCTTGATGGCTTCTTCACAAACTATATATGAGCATGTTCCACATAGCAACGGCCGAGCTCTGCGCCTTGCCCTCACAAGTTGTAAACTGTATATATGAGCATGTTCTATCTCTCTTCATCTCTTCTCACCCTCCCCTCCAGTAATTAGGAACACCCACTACAATAATGTCCGTATGGTACAACAACCATGATGTTGATGCTTTCGAGCTATTCAACATTGTCATAGAGAGCACATGTTTACCAATTCCGGATACAAGTTCTGATGAGACAATTCGAGCTCACAATGTCTCCGGTAAGAAAGTCGGTATGGTAACCACTGCTCTCGGGAGCCATGGATGGCCATCTTGGGGCTCGAAGCATCACTGAAGCAAAATGCAACCCTCCCCAGCATCGACAACTAAGATGTGAGCCAGCTGAGTCGACACAGGTCCTAGAACAGCAGAGCGCAGTCGCTCGATCCTTGTAAGTATGCTCTTGTACCTGACCAAAACATCCACTGAAGTGAAGTGCTGAAGTTCTTCGGAGTTCATACTTCATAGGAGCAAACTTGAAGAATTTGTGCGCCAAGTCTTTCAGAGAGGCGCAGTTAGGAGAGCAGTTTGAGACTGTTTAGCTAAGGCTACCTCACCGTGTTTCCTGGTCTATCAGTTTTTGGACCTAATTTATTCTTTACTCCTGTGCTAAGAGAGCCTTGGCTCAGTGTTTGGGCATGCGATTGTGGAGCCCAACTATCTGAGTTCAATTCCTAGAAGTGACAGGTGATGCACACGGAGTTTCTCACATTTGTCTTGGTACTCATACTAAATTGGTTGTATGTATCCCTAGTTGATGCAGAGGCCGGGAAGTGAAAAGTTCTCCCATTTTTGAAGGTTTCGTAGGTCTATACAACTGCCCCGTGTCGCTCGCCTAGGCGACACGGGCGGCGATTGGATCTCGCCCAGCCTAGCAGCTCCCTTCACTGATCCCCAAACCTCGCCGCCGCCAAGGGTTGCCACCGGGCGAAGCCTGCATGTGGAAGGCGGCAGCAAGGCGTCCTTCCTCCGTGGCGGTGATGGGTACATCCTCCAGCGGCGGCGCATGGGTTACGGGCTGCGGCATGGCGATGCCGGTGACCCAACGTCGACAATGGGTGGAGGGATCCGGTGCTGTTGGCTAAGATGCTGTGGTCGGTGCAGCCACGCACTTCGAGCCGATGTGCATGGACGGGCCTGTAGAGCACCGGTTGTAGCGGCTGGAGGCGCGGTGATGGTGGTTGTCTGCTGCTGCGTGATTGCGTGGTGGTCGCGGTAGCCGATCAGGCGACGGTGGTTAGGCGGCCGCAGCTGGACCCTTTCGTCTAGTCCTCGTCAGAGAAGGCGGCGATGTGTGTACATGACACTTGATGGAGGTTCTTCGAACTGATCTACGTGAAATCCTGCTCTCGGCTAGCTGCCAAGGCCGGCGATGGCAGTGCTCTTCAGTGTCGTTCCCTTCTTAAAGGCATCACCGTTGAGAAGTTCCAGACCATCATCTGCTACATTTGGGATAAATCCTAGATCAGTAGATCAGATGACGGCGACGCTGTTGTGTCATTTCCTCCTTGGGGGCATCATTTTTGGAGGTGTACACGGGCTCGAGGGATCAGTGGACGGTATTTTGCTGCAGCGGTGCTTCATCCTACACATTGATGGCGGCGGATCTCGATGGCGTGGCACAGTGGAGACTTGGTATTCGATGTGTGGCGATGGACTCGCGCAGGAGGACGACGTTGTCTGGCGTCGTGGTGGCGTCGACGGTAGAGAGGCCTGGCAAGGCCGAAGCGTCAGTATCTGCTCTAAAGATAGATCGTTGGAAGATGGTGGTGACGGCCATTGTAGTGTGCGTATGTGGTGCCCATTAAGAGTGCGCCGGAGCGGTGTGTGACCCAGTCCCGGCATTGTGGCTTGGATGGGGTACCCTGCTTTAGATGTTAGGTTTGGTGCGATGCCTTTTTGGTATTAGTCTCAGACAGTCGGCACCCCTTCAACAAGTGGATAGAAGTATCGACAGGTGTTGCTAAGATGGAGGCTTCAGGCTTACTGATGTATTACTTTGTAAGGTTCTTGTGAATAATTAATAAAATGACTGCATGCATCTTCCAGGTGCAGAGTCCGGTTGTATATCCTCTTTTTCAAAAAAAAAAAAATTCTTTACTCCACCCCAATGTATCACTGATAGATCAAGAATAAGATATTGTGACACTGTACAAAGTTTACACTCAAATACGCATCCTGATTTTAGGATTTGCAACTTCCCAAATGTTTTCTTTCAAACGTTTGTGGAACAGATTCCCTAATTTTGCAGATATTTTATCTTGTCAGCAAGTCATGTCCAAAGTTGTTAGTTTGTGTTCTCAATGAAGAAATATCTTCTCACCCTTAATTAGCTGAAATTGTACGTACTATGTACACTCAAACAACACTACATCCGCCTCTGTTCTGTCTTGTGCGTGCTTGCTGTCCACTTTATTCTGAGCGCTTAATTCTCACTATGTGGCCACACCTAAAAAATCAACCTATAAAATGAGAGATACTGAATGAATAGAGTGTAACTTCAGAAATACCAGTATTTCTTTTCTTTCAGACAAGATCAATCACGGTCCCTATAATACAGCCAATTGGGAGAAAACAAATACTCCTTTTTAAAGAGTGATTCATGATTCCCAAACATGGTAGGGGAACATGAATGCTGCACTCTGTGAATCACGAATTGGAAAGAAATGACTATCCACTTCTTGCCCTCTTGTATGAAACATGGAAGGCTGCCCGAAGTGAATCGAGAAATAAGAGATCCAGTCACTCCCGCGCCTCCTCAGAGCTCAGGCGATTTGGGCCGTCCATCTCGTTTTACTGATGCGAATCTAACCGTCGGATCGAGCCTCTGGATGATCTGGGCCGCCGGATCAAAAAAAGGCGTTGTAGCAATGAATAGTTACCGTCGTCTCGTGCCACCGTGCGTAATTCCGCTGCCCCACCGAGGGCATTTCCGTCATTTCACCAATAGGGGGTATAAAAAGGAGGCGGCTCCTATGGCGGAGACCTAGCCGCCGCCTCCTCCAGCACCCGCTCGTCCCTCCTCATCCATCCAACCCCTAACCGTAGGAGCTCCCGCCGCCGCCGTTTACTTCGCCCAGCCCGCCGGACCGCCGCCACTACAAGAAATATGTCAACTTGTGATCTTCTGTTA